TATTTCAGTCCAAAAGATATGAGCGATAAAAATGTCTTTGTACTCATTTACACTAGAGTTGCTGGTATCTTTTAATCGCCTCGGCTTTACTGTAGCGCATGGGAAACAAACACTAAAGGCCAAGTGAATAAAACGTCACTACGTGACCTGATTAAACCGTGCAGCGCAAGAGAACAGCTGGACCACACCGGACCGGTGTCTTGCGCCCGCGACTGTAGCTCGACACTTTCGCCGCTCCATTGAAGTGATAATATAAGCAGCGCTTGCCCATTTGAATTCGACACACTACACTTATATTTTAACAGTAAAGTCTCTGTGGTGAAGCTAGTGGAAACCAGACTGAATAGCACCATGTGAACTGAAGTGTAGAGGTAAACTGTACAAAACTAAATAAGCAATTTAATCCACAGCACCACACCTAGGCTATTTAACATGCAGTTACTGACACTGTAGAAATATGGCATTAATGATATGTATTATTAATGTCACGAAAATTATTATAAGCTAATTATAGCCTATATTAAATATTGGGTCAAATAAAAGCAATAAGTCACTTTTATAAAGGTTTACTAATACTATACAGTTAACTCTGGATTCAAGAATTAGCTTTTCATTAGGGCAACTACAAAGGATAATTTAATAGTTCTAATAAACTTTAATTGCAGAAAAATATGAATTCAATAATTAAGAGCCTGCAATATAATTGAATATTAATATTGTTAAATGCATTTTAAGTATTCAAAATAGATTTTGTTTTCGTTGGTTATTTATTAATAAATAATGTATTTATTCAAATTGCCCTAACCCCAGCAAAACATTTATGGGGGACTGTGTGGGCCAGATGGGCTGAATTTTAGCACCAGTCCAGCCCTGATGATTCTCCTCTTCTAGGGCGAGAAAGAGGACCTTCAAATAATAAAACTATTTAAACTCAACTCTTTAAGGGAGCTGTATATGCTTAAAAGTTGTTGCTGCTTCTGGAAACCTGTTTGCTTTGACTTCATATCCAGTGTCAATGTATGTATTCTTTTAATGTATTGTAGCCTGGAATATTTACCCCCCCCCCCCAAAACCCTGAATTATTCCTGTGGTAGAAAACGCTGTGGCACCAAGATACGCTACTATGAAGGGGGGCCCTTGGGTTTGCTATAGCCAAGGGCGTATGTGTTCTTAATCCGGGTCTGTTTGTCAGCAAGTTGTTTTTAATAATTTAAAATGTAAAATCATTTAGTATGACCACTTTTTAAAATATATTTTAATAAGTACATATCTGAATAAATATGTTTCATTTTTTACATAAATATATTTGTTACACTGAATGATATTAGGAACATTATTTCCCCCATATTTTTATTTGAAACATTAAAGTAGACATGCATTTAATATACTTTTTATATATATTAAATCCCTTTTGTAAATTTAATTTGATCCAGACACCAAAATGGGATGTCTCGTCTTTGATCCATGTACACGTATGTACTATATCTGCTCCTAGTTTAGGGACTGTGTAAAATTAGGTGCTGCAGAATCCCCCTACTTTAAGCAGTTTTTAAGCATGTTAAAGGTCCCTGATGCCCCAAATCCTTGAAAAAACAAAAACAATCCTTGGGAAAATATTAGGTACCATCGTACTTTCAGTGCTTGGGCACTAATAATTTATACACAAGATCACTTGCCTCTGTACCCCTTCAGCTTGCTCCTTGGTAAATCCTTTTGTTACGTCTGCAGCTGCTGAGTCCTGTTTCTGTGTCTCATGCCGGGTTTGGGATCCGGGGTCAGTTCCATTTGATGCATTCCTACAAAATGCAGTGCTGTTCCCTGTCGAAGTACCATTCCTCAGCAAGGCTTCCTCCAACAATACTGTCAACGAAACACAATTAGCTAAATGCCACATAGTAGATTTGAATCCACATTTTTTAACTTCTTAGAATATAAATAAATTTATGTTTCACAGAAATCAGAATGTTCTTGGCAATTATCAGTCTTAAATTGATACTTAAATATGCCTAGGATTATAAAATAAAGAAACTTCCTCCCATTTTCAACTGCTTTTAGCAAATTTCTTAATGTGCGAATGCAAATAATTGTTGTGGTGCGACCCGTTTTCAGTTCTTTACAAAACGTTCGCTACTACTGCACAGTATGTATCTCCTGTGAGCTGATACAGTACAGGTCCACTGTTACATAAACAATTAAACTACATCTTTGCATTCTTACCTTTAATTTTAGATTGGTTAATATTAGCCGTCAATCACCCCCTCTCACTACATTGAACTAAAGGTCCTTGCGCACCGAGTCCGACATTTTCATCCGAAATGTACGCACATAAAAAAATTAATACGACCTCACGTTCTGTCAATCAAGTTTACACACTGCCTCCGAAACTTTCGTCCATCATAAGAAAATTCGGATCTGGTTTGATCTGCGTTTTTCGCATCCGTAGCAAGCATTTTGAGAGGTTAGGAGGCGTCTGGCAAGTTGATTCTCACAGCACAAAGCACTGTATGGGTCCTTGCACACTGAGTTCACGGAAATTGGTGGTCTTCTTTTTAATATGTGGCTCCAGTATCGCTAGCAAAGCATCAAACTGAGCCACTGACATCCTGAAGAAAACTTTGAATCGCCCGGGATAATCCTGCAGATCCAGTGTTTCCCACACATAGACTTTACTTGGGCGGGTCGCCCAGATATAACGGTCGCCCAAGTATATTTGGTTAAACAATTTTGCTTTTATTATTTTTATCCTCTTATACTACTAATATTTTTTTTTAGTTTATGTATGTTTTTTTTATTTTATTTATCCGTCCGAATTAATGAAACCATCCGCGATTGATTAACTACACGTTTTGTATTTGTTTTATTTAACATTTAATTATTGCAGGTTTGTATAATATTTTGCATTTTTACTTTTTATTCATTTTGAGGAATACTGAATCTGTTCATATTTAGTGTAGAACTACAGTAAGCATCACGTTAACACAGCGCACAACGCCTCTGCACTTACTCTCGATTTCTCTCAATATGGCAACACAAGAGCGTGTATCCCATGAAGGGGCGACAGGCGCGTGTGTGGAGGTCGCGGGGGGGGGGGGGGGGAGTAACTGGAGTTACTTGTTTGAAAAAGTAACTCAGATATTTCCTTCTAAATTAATAAGTAATGCGTTACTTTACTAGTTACTTTAAAAAAGTAATCTGATTACGTAACTTGCGTTACTTGTAATGCATTACCCCCAACACTGCTCATCTGAAGGATCAGCCCGCAATGTAGACATTTCAAAATAAGAGTTAGGGATGGGCGTATCAATGCTGTAGTATCGATACCGATGCGAGTATCGAAAGTATCAATACTCAAATAAAAAATATCAATACTAAGGTGTGTATTTTTACCAGTGATTGTTTAACAAAAAAAAGTAATGCGTACAATTTTTATTGAATTGAATGAATAACCTATGTTAGCGAATAATTGTGTAGGATAGATCTATTTTCCTGCTCATCTGAACACACGCAAATGCTGCAAGACAGAACTAATCAATCACAGAGAACGTTCACTCACTTCTGACAGTGCATTCAAACAGGGCTACGTTTCCAAAGGTATCATAAGAAACCATTGATGCTTTTGGGAACGGCAGAACAAAGCTTATCAGAGGACAGAAAAAAACATATATACTTGAGTTATTTCACAGTAAACAAATTGAAATTGTAGTCTACATAGTAGTCTACAAATGCAATTACATTTATTTAAATTGAACGTTAAAAGTACATATTGATTGTTCTATTCTGTAATGTTAATATAAATCATAGCTGCCAGAATAAAAAGGTTGCATTTTATGCATGCAACAGCCTTTCAGTGGAAATCCCTGTTTTTAAAGTTTTATTAAAGTGACTGTAGTTCAACTATAGTTTTTGTAGATCTCCATGGTTACTACTACAGTAAACATATTTTAACCATGTATAAATAAAAATATAACCTAGTTGCAATTAAGGTGTATTGGATGTTAAAATGCGTTTCAAATATAAAAGTGGGTATCATTACCCATTTTACTCTTAGTAATTTAATAATTGAATCAATTTCATAATTTAAAAGTTCAGTTTAGAAGTATCATATCGATATCGACGATACTGGCCTTTAAAAGTATCGGTATCGTATCGAAAACCAACTAAGTGGTATCGCTCATCCCTATTAAGAGTCCCAGTGTTTTTTGGGCTTGTTTTTAATTAAAAGGTTTTTTTTCCGTTTTCTGTTCTTCTGGGCATTATTGGAATTTTGGTTACACAAATTGTATTTCATATAATTTCCATTGAATTCATAGTAAACTATTGTAGTTCCTGTCTGGGATGCTTCCCAACAGGAAGAAAATAAATTTGTATCAAAAATTATTTTACACATATTATTCAATATATAGATTTTAGTAGTATCAGTAAAATCTGTCCCATTCCCTGAGAGAGACACTACATGACAAAGCAAGGAGAACTATGCTGTAATTTTGCATAATTTGCAATGCATAATATGAGTATGTAATTAAATGTAATAGTATCCTATGTAATTAAAATTAATTTCAATAAATAAAAATAGTTAAAAATCACATATTATTTGTTATTTGTCACATGTAGTAGACCCTTTTTGTGCCATAGGTAACAGGAGGCTTTTCCACCCGGCTACCACCGCAAGTATATTTCAAACCTGTGGGAAACACAGAGATCCTTCATAAGGAGGTGGATCTCTCCTTGGATTGGATGATGGATCCAATATTTCCTCTTTCTTTTTCTCTTTTTAAGAAGAGAGAGAACAACAAAATCATTCTCACTGCTTGAAGACTCCATTTTGTATTGTTTTGCAAATTTTTTCTCAGATCGGACTCTGTGCAAGGTTTCTGTGCGTGACGGATTTTTAGGATGATGAATACAAAAAAATGCATATGAAAATTTTGGACTCAGTGGGCAAGGACCTTAACACGGAACCGGACGTTTTTTTGCTTTATTTCAGCTCATCTCTGTTCCAGATTTGCACAAACTGCATTACAATCAATTTCCGAAATGTAATTTGTGTGGAGATATTATGAAGTCTGTAAACAGACATTAACAGAGGCCAGAGAAAATACATCTGGCAGGCAGATCAAGCTCACTGTTCACGATGCACGAAATATTATAAACAAATCATAAATACTGAATTGGGGGTGGGGGTTATATGAATGTTATCTCTGAGAGGATCAGACTGTTATCAGAAAAGTTTAGATGGTATTTTCTTTTCATCTTGCCTCTGTATAATGCATATTAAAGTAGCATTTATAAGCTATATTGCTTCTGTTCCATAAGCGCCACCTGCTGGCAGAGAGTGAATTTGCATTATTATTCAGCCTGTCTCCTGTTTTTGTTTCATACAGATGTTTTATGTAGTATAATTCAGTGTTTCCGCTACATTCACTCTGCCGTGGTGGGCAGCCACACCAAAAATCAACCCCGCCATGGCTGCAGCTTCGCAGTGACATACTGCAGTGATCACAGTGATGCCACTCACATCATGAACAGGGCTTGAATTCTGGCGCAGGATTGTGCATAGTTCTACTCATTCCCGCAGGTTCCGCACAAAATTGTCAAAATACCTGTCTTGGCGAGTATTCACGTAAACACAGTCGGTTTATATTAAACATAGTCGGTAAGTGAATGTAAACCGTTGAGAAACAAAACGCACATGTAACAGTACATTAGATCCGTGCACAAGGTCTGAAGACAGCAGCCTAAATAAACCTGCTGTTGTCGGTGTCATTACTGTTTATTTATACAGTAAATACTATCCAGTGTTATTTTACAGTTGAATAGATTATTCAGTTTCTTTAGTAATTCTGTACTGAAATATTTATGTTAGAATACCTGAAAAACTTAAAGTACTGTTAATTTAATTTGTATCTGATGGTTTTTATTTGTGCTATTGCTAGTCATTTAATTGTTTTATTGTCTTTTTTAGTTCAAATAAATTTAATTCGGAGTTTGAGTGCAGGTGATTTGTGGGTGGGGAGGTTTAAGCACCAGGGGGAAGGAGACGTGGTCCATGGGAAACAGTCCCCACCACAGCTGGAAAAAATCCTAGAGGAAACACTGTAATTTCACAATACTATGCAGTGGTTGCCTCTAATTTTAAATGGCTATAGAGAATTCAGCCTGTAATAGAGAAAATAAACATCTTGTTTATGTACTCATATTTTCATTCTTTCTTGTCTCTTGCTTAAAAACATAAAATAAATATTTTTTTAAATCAGCTTTCAGAATCAGCCCATTTGCTTGTAAAACATCAGCAATCAGAATTGGCCATGAAAAATCAAGATTGGTGCATCACTAAAAAGAAATGCTAGGACAAGTGTGTGGCAAATAATTCAGGATCAGGTTCGATTGTTGAAACTTTTAATCACCAGGATACAGGCAGTTGTGGTGCTCCTTAATTTATAGTGGGTGCTCCTACATTTTTGTTGCTGCTCCTAACTTTTTGAAGTTGGGAGCACCAGTGCCACCAGGTAAAAAAGTAAATTTTGAGTCCTGCAGTGGACTCACGCTTCCAAACTTATGTGCCATCCTGGTGTGAGGAAGTGGTAGCCATCCGTCATAGTCCAGATTGTGGCAACTAGGTACATCTCTGGGCAGAGTGTGGAATTCCACCAATGACCTGCCACTGTGAGTTTCTTATCCCATCCCATCTAGTGGACAACCTACAAGTATTACAACCTTCAAGTGTCTGATAGTTTTTAATTTGCTGTCACTGCCCTGAGATTAACCCATTAATTGCCGTAACCCTTAAAACCAGCCTGCCAGAGGGTTACTGTAAATGCATGTGCCCACTGTTCACCGTTTTCCTGATTCCACCAGGGTGGCGGTGGTGCCAGGGGCTTGGGCCCGTCATCGCTGCTTGCAGCTATATTTAGGGGCCGAGCACAGCAGTGCAAAATTATTGTCCAAAATTAATCACATTTTTGAGAACCTAAACATGCTTGAAAACTCATGAAACTGCATATACGCAAGAAGCAGCGAAAATGTTTCGTCTGATATAGGTTTCAGAATTAGGTGTGGAAAAATGGCTCGATAGCGCCATCTATACACATTCAACAAAGTGCCCCTCGAGCTACATTTCACGTACATGTTCAAAATTCGGTAGACACATGTAACACACCAATACCTACAAAAAAGCAAAATCCGAAACCCAAAGGAAGTCAAGTTATTTTGAATTTTCTCTACAAATTTTTGTTGTTTTTGCCATTTTCGGGCATTGTATTTTAACAAACTCCTTCAGTGTAATCTAAAGCCCTTTGTGTTGAAGGGCGTGTCTGTGGTGGCCTGACAAATTTTGATGTTTCACTATGAAACAGGAAGTTGTTATATACAATGTCTGATCTGCCCCAAACTTCATGTTTGATTAACTATATTAGTTAACTTCAGAGCTGGAAATTAACGAGGGCTTGTGGCAAAAATGCCACAAGAATGAACAAAACTGCCCCATAAATTCAAGGCAAAGGGGCAAAAAATGCCCGTTGCACAATTAAACAATGTATTTGGAGCTTAGTTTAGTCAGCGCTGAAAACGCGCCAATCAGAGGCGCTTAGTCAGCGCTGAAAATGCCGAAGCTGTTGTAAATGTAATTATTTAACATTAAAGACAACTCAGTATGGTGATTATAATAATAAGGTGATTATAAAAAATGCAAAATATAACCCCTTAATGGAAAAGTTGATTTCTGACTCCGGCTAACTGCGAACGAAAATGTTCTTATACACTTTCTTCTTCTAAACAGTTTTTATTTCATCAGATACATAATGGTTTTGGTTGTCTTTTTCTTAATATTGGACTAGCAACCAGAGTGGTAAACCACAAGAATCTAAAAATCTGAATCTGAATTTATTCAGCCAAAACAGACTTGTTTTGTTGTTTGCTGAGGTAGGTGTAGCAAATTAGCTCAAAAGGGAATTGTACATAAATAATTACAATTAACTATAATTAATTACAATTATTTATATAAGCTGCTAGTAGTAACTGTAACTGTCATCTAATCTGTTCGTCCAGCGAACATTCAGTGTAATTTCATATCAATTCTAAGAAATTATATTTTCGTGGGCATAGAAAATAACTTTCTTACAGTACTAGTGCATTAGAGCATATAACAAGATCTGGAATCGTTAAAGGGACATTATCCACAAGCAGTGACAGAATCAGGAAGAGGTGCAGAACAATCAGACATGCACCTGCCACTCACGGCTGGGAGACAGTGGTGGCTGTCTGGCTGTTGTTGCCTCCGGGAGTGGTTGTGGTGTCAAGGTGGATGCTGTCAGGTGGTGTGCTGTGGTGATGTAGGCAGTAGCAAGGTGCGGGTCCTCGAGCTTGTGCAGCAGGTGTCGAGGCAGTGTCACCTGTCATCCTGAAGTGAGTTGGTCTGGGGCAGATGGTTGTTTGTAGGTGTTGTTAGCCAGCAGGCTATCCATTGTACCTGTGGTTTGGAACAGCTGGGTTGGACTCTCACTTATGAAAGGGCAGGTGGTTCCGGGGGTTGCAGGGAATGGTTTTGGAAATCTGAATTTCCAAAACCGATTTCACCACAAATCTGATGTTTGCGGTGTCGCTTTGCTCGTGAGGCGGCACCAACTTGAGCTTGCCTGAGTGGTGTCAGAGGAGCTATTGCTGTTGGGCACAGTGACTCGTTACTCCATCCAACTTTGTCTGGCTGCTCCTGGGTTGTTGATTGGTTTACAGGATGCTCCTCCTTTGGAGGTCTGAGGCAGTGTTGTGATGGGCAAGGAATCAGAAAATGTGTCCTTCCCAGTACTCCTCGGTTGAGTACTGTTCAAGGAGCTCTTTTGCTAGCATCAGCCGCTCCTGTAACTCAGAAGTAGGTGTGTCCAGCTGTCCTTATGAAGCCTCCGTTTGGCACCTGTGTGAAGGGTGTAGAGCAGGATGTTGTTGTAGACAGTTTCAGATCCAGAGGGTCAGTGAGGAAGAGTCTATTTTTATGGCAGGGCTCAAAATTGTGACCGTTTTGGTCGCATATGCTCCGAAATGTAATCTGTGCAACCCCAAAATATATTTGGGATCATTTGTGCAAGTGCACATGATTGTTGTGGTGTGACCTGTTTTCATTTCTCTGCTAAACGGAATTGGCCATGAAAGATCGATGCATCACTAACATGAAATGCTGGGCCAAGTGTGTGGCAAAGAATACATCATGTTCGATTGATGAAGCTTTTAATCATCAGGATGTTGCCAGCCCTTCCGCTCAATTGGCAGTTGTGATGCTCCTTAATATTCAGTGGGTGCTCCTACATTTTTGTTGGTGCTCATAACTTTAAGTTGGGAGCACCAGTGCTACCAAGTAAAAATTTTAATTTCGACCCCTGCAATGGGCATTATGTATCTTTCTTATGGGGAAATGGAGTGAGAGTTACTCTGCCCACATTCCTTTGAGCAATAAAACCAGTGTTATCAGATGATTTGTAATTGCTTGCCATAGTAAACGGAGTCCTGTTCTGCCTTTTTGGGGTGTTAGTTGCTCTGCGGTGGTTATCCACAGAACTCTAATACATAGTTTGCTTTTGTGGGTGAGGGGGTTTGCTGGATTATTCATTAAATATAATGAATAATTGTGTGTCTGATTGGTCCAAACACTGCATAGGGTGCTATGGTTATCACTATGTCAGTCATCACAATTTCAGGAGCAAATGATATTAGCGAACACCAAAACTTGACCAAAACTCCCAACATTTTTATTCAAATTATGAAAGGATTATAGACAGCAAGAACGATGCTAACCCTACCCCAGAGCAGGGTTCATAACCCCATTTCAAGCCTCTGGGGTCGGCAGAGGTCCCAGTGTGATCACTTGTATTTTATCCTGATATCAGCAGAAATGAACTTATTGAAAATAAACCTATTGAAAAAAAAACATATATGTAACTTGTATGAAACCAATGTGAGGTATGGTCTTCCATGTCTGAGCTCATTATCTGTAATGCGCGGCTCGTTTGTAAGGGCAGGTGGGGCAGAGCCCCATCAAAATATTCACCCAAAATATAGACCTCTATATAAACTGAATAAAAAA